GCTCCGACTCCTGTGTCGGGGGCAGTGGTCAGCAAGGAGGGGGCTCTGGCTGCTGCTTACCTGAACCATGAGATGAAGTGAAAATACTTGAGAAAAGAAAGCTTTCAAATGACTGGACCCTAGTGCCTCTCATTCCTACCCCCACTCTTTCCCGCTGAGATGTTCCTTGAAGAGTTCTGAGTATTTGTACTCCCCAGGGGGTTTATCCTGCTGGTCTCAGTGCTTCCCCCTCCTTCTTTAAGTCCCTGTGCTATGAAGAATAAAGCTGTTCTTTCTCACTGCAGCCTCTGTCTAACATGTCTATGTGTTTGCTCTATCCTGAGCTGACCCACAACAGTGCAGAATCCTGTCTCGGGAACAGATAAGTAGCAGGTCACATTCCATTCAATTCACAAGACCCTTTTACCGGGGTTGTGTATTAGGGTGGGGGTGATTTGGGGAGTCTTTCACGAGGTCAAAGATAGGAACACGAGTTGGGAGTAAACATAAAGCTCCAGAAAGCAAAGGGAAAGAGCTTCACGGGCCTTTTCTGATCTTTCAGAAAACACCTTGGAAGCTCAGTCCTAGGTTTCTATCTTTGAGATGCTGATAGTATAGCAACTGACTGGCAAGTAATCCAATTGTGAGCTGGAGTGATACCAGCTATTACATAAGTGTGTGGGAAGTCCATGGGACTTGGCCTTTGGATAGCAATTCTTTGTTACCCTGACAAGAGTGAGGAGTTCAGATATTGTCACAGTTTTCACTTGTGGGTGGTAGGTGAGTCTCTGGTCTGTACAATGGTTTGTAAGTGTAAGACAGAAGCCAAGATGTTGTCCCCTGGTGGCCCAGTTAAAGTGATTAAGAGGAACTCATAGGACCCACGAGCTAGGATCCCCTAGACAGGACGTTTCCTGGCAGAGGGAGAAAATAAGGCTTCCATTTGAGATAAGGTGGATCTGAAAGGGAAGCAAGCTAAGTTAATGGCAGATGGAATAGTATGCCAGCTAAGAACATGGTCCTCGGAATCTGACATTCCTATCATGCTCCTCTTTTAAATACAAAGATAAACCTAGAAGTGTCTAAGGAAAAATAAAGCTAAAAAATGAAGAAAAAAGGAACCAGAGATGTTAGAATTAAAAGCAGAGACAGCAACTAGCAACGTACATCTATGAAGTGACAGGCTTGCAGATCTAAGGAAATTGTTTCAGTGTTTAATTGACTATGCTATTGATCAAAGAGACAGGAGTGGTTCAAACTCAGGGATGCTTACATCATCACGTTGGCCAGAGCACTTTAGGCGAAAGGGGAGGTCAGATGAAATGATAATTTATGGGAGTAATAATAAAGTGGTGACTAATTTCATTTGTTCAGTGTTTCTGGAAGATATAAATCAGCTATATAATATTTTTCACTGCATTTTATTTTAATTTTATAGAATGGTATAATTACTTGGCATACATAAATAACTTTGATATCTTTTGACAAGACATTATTATTTCAGTAGTGACTCTGGACATTCTAGTTACAAGAAGGTTGTAGATATGGCTACCCTCTTCAAAACTTGAACATGTTAGAACCATGGCCAAAATCTGAGTCTTTTCAAAACACTGTGGGAACATGAACTTATACTAGGGTTTCAGTAGTATGTAGAATTATTGAAAAGAGGATAAGGATTTGGTCAGTACCTACAGTGATGATTTTAAAACATGCCTCAAAGTTATTTGAGATTCTTCTCCTTAGGTGGGGATCTATGTTGCCTCCACTTAAATCTAGGCTGGCTCATGACTTCTTTAACCAATAGAATATGGCAGAGGTAATGCTATATGACTTCCAGATTCCACCTGGTATCCTTAGAATATACTCTCTGGAGGAAGCCAGGTACCAAGTAAGAAGTGTGACTACAGTAAGACCATCATGCTAAAGAGGCCAGGTGTAAATCCTCCAGCTGACAAGCCCAGAAAAGGTCCCAATTGACATTCAGAATTGACTACCAATCATCTGAATGAGCTTTTTTGGATATCCCACCTAGTCAGCCTTCAGGTGAGAACTTTTAATCTACAAAATTGTAACAAAATCAAAATGTTTGCTGTTTCATACCACTAAGTTTTGGGGTGATTCAGCATGCAACAGTAGCAACCAGGACACTAACTAATTTCCTCTCATTTGTCACTTACCTTCTTGCCTCCACAATTGTTGGCTCTGCTGAGGAGCCAATAGTCACTAGATACCTTTCTTACTCTTATTCCCTAAAAATTCACTCTTTGTATCCAGGCGGGGCTTATCCCACCTACACTGTTGTTCACCTCACACAGGGGAAGAGAATCCAACTGAAGGCATAGCAGGAAAATATACGTTCCATCCTGTCAAGTACCCACTCAGATTTTTTCTCCAAGTGAGTAAGGAATTTGTCTGTTCCCACTGCATGCCCAGTGCCTAGAATGGCACTTGGCACACAAGATATACTCAACAAATAAGTGTAGAATGAAGAACTTAAAAAAAAATGAGTGCGTGGTTCCCAGCCTGGCTTGATGCATTCTCATCAAGTCTAGAGAAGTAATTTTTTCTTCCACCCACTCTGACCTCATCTGTCAGAAGCCATTTTTAGTGGCAAGCCATACCTGATTACTGAAACTACTGTCCTGATGGCTGTCCTGTTGTCTCAGTTCTGAACTTTATTCATTGTCCCTGCTTTTTTCTTTCCTTACACAAGTTAGATTTACCAACAGCAAGAATCCTTGTGGCTAGGGGCTCAATTTGAACCTAGAATCTTCTGAACGACAAGACTTATTATTTAGTTTTCATATTAAAAGACAAATAATAGAAGCTAACATTTAAACACTTCACATATATTAACATAAACCATTCAGGACCCCAGGTAAAATATTATTATCTCCATTTTTTGGATGAAGATTGACTGAGGCAAGAAGGGTTAGGTTGTGTGTTTCGCTATTAGGTAACATAACTGGGATTTCAGCCCAAGGAGTCTAGATTTAGACTACACTGCTCCCTAGTTGATGATGTGCAGCTCGAATTTGACTAAAGAACCCCAGTCTCTGTCTGCCCTGAAATAAACATGGCTTCTAAGGATCTGAGGCCAACCAGCTCAGATTCATCCATGTTTGTGGCTTTGGGTGCACAACATAGATGAGTGTAGGACCTTCATGTTCCCAAAGGGAGCTTGCCTATCCTTTTTCTTTTTCATTATGTATTTTAATTCTGTTAAAGAGTACTTCCCAGACATGTCTCAAGTGTCCCAGAGTAAGAAGTCTATCACAATGATTCAAAAAATCTTGCTTAAACGTAAGTTCCAAGCCGGGCTCAGTGGCTCAGCCTGTAATCCCGTGCCTTTGGGAGGCTGAGGTAAGTGGATTGCCTGAGCCCGCGGGTTCGAGACCCACCAGGGCAGCTTGGCAAGACCTCATCTCTACAATAAATCAAAAAGTAGCCAGGTGTGGTAGCACGCACCTGTAGTTCCAGCTACTCAGAAGGCTGAGGCGGAAGGATCGCCGGAGCCCAGCAGGTCAAGGTTGCGGTGGCCGGGAGTGGCCACTGCACCCCAGTCTGGGCGACAGAGTTAGACTCCAACTCAAAAAAAAGCAAAAAAAAACAACGTAAGTTCCATATCTGTGGCCCCTTTGTCAAAACCTTCTCAACCAGTTTAATGGTTTGAGTGGCAGAATACATGTGGCTTCAATCCTCAGTCATGGTTCCTTTTAACACTTTGTATTCCAATTTCTTAAGAAACTATGTATCAAAAACATTAGGACAAAACTGATTTCCAGTTTGCCACTTTTTAAAAAATGAAATAACAAAAAAAATTTAATTTCATTGAGTTCCCAAAGTATCACACAGTTTTTGTTTTCTAACATGTCCATGCTCAAACTCTGATTTCTCTCAAATAATTCTGCTTTGACTGCAGTCAAAGGTACATAATATCTTTTCACCTTGCCAAAGTTATTTCAAGAACCATCATGACTTGGGTTGAATATAGCCCTCTTCTGCAACATTATTTCAATTATCTAGCTATCAAAGTGAAAAATCACTTGAGATTCACATCAAGAATGATCATTTTGGTTTGGAGCAGAGATAAGCACTGCCTTATTCCAAAGTAGTTGGGACAGGAGCTCACCAGTTAGAATCCTATGGTAACTATAATTTTGACCATGTCTCCTTTTTATTGTTGAACTCAAAAAAGTAATATTCAAAAGCAAAATAATAACAATAATAATGAGTTCAATTCTATCTCAAATCTCTTAAAAGACATTTACAGGTGATTTGTAATACTCTGAGATATTTCTGGAATCTACTTTTTCCTCAGAGCCCAGAGCCTCTCATTTACATTTTTTAAGATAAAACTCTCAATTCCAATTTTTTTCAGAATATAGCAACTTAGCTCACTTCCCTACCTAAAGCCCATAATGTGTAGTATTACTTGATCTTCCTCCTTCAGACTGTTCTTTCTGCCACCACACCTTCCATTCTGCTTGGTCTCATTCTTCTCCATTTTCTGATCCTCTAAATCACCCTCAACAGAGATCATGGATTCCAGTGCTCGATTATCCCTCCCAAAGTATTAAACAAGAAAAGTCGGGCATTGTTCTAAGAGATTTTCATAACCTCTTTCAACACCTCTGCCATTCTTCCACTCTCAAAGCTCCCATCAGGCTCTTCTGAATGAAGAAAAGCCTGGCCCTTTAATTTTTTAGCCCCAAACCAATACTATTCCTAGTGCTGGGCATGCAGCACTTTCAAGAGCTGAAGGAGGGGAACACCACTGAGCAGGCTTCTAGCAGGCAGAGTAAAAGGACAAGTGAGAAACAGAAGCTGTTAAGAGGCTTTATTTTTCTATATAGTCAGACACAGGTGATGGCATTGCCAGGAAAGAGTCTTTGGGCTTTTGGAAAATACATAGGCAGAAGTTTCTGGGGAGAGCAAGACCCATCCCCATGAACATTTCAGCTCTCCTGTCCAAGAAGAGAGATTAATGGTGTGAGGTGGGGGAAAAAAGCATCAAGTTGGGGCTTTTCCTTGGCACTTTGGATTCTTGTTTTCTCTAAAATCGCTTATCTCAGCATCAGAATCCAGGTCAGCAGCAGCCTCCAGAGCCGTGGCCACAGCCAGAGCCCCCTCCTTGTTGACCACTGCCCCCGTCGCAGGAGTCAGAGCTCAGGAGCCGGCACCGGTGGGACCTGCGGGGCCTGTGGTGGCTCAGGCAGCAGCCGCCCTCGGAGCTGGGGCCACAGCCGCCAGGGCTTAGAGCACAGCCAGAGGAGGCAGTAGGCAGGCACTGTGCTGGGCTCTTTGGGGGGCACTTGGGTGAGGGGCACTTGGGTGGGGGCTGGCACTGCTGCTGGTTCTGCTGGCAGGACATCTTGGCAGGAGTTGAGTTGCCCTGGACAAAACAAAGCCACTTATCAGTTCAGAATCTATAGCCCGGTATCTCCTAGCCTCTAAGACCAGCTGCCTCTTGGACCAAGAGTTGCAGGAGGGCAAAAGAAGCAGATTTGTAGCTGGCGGGATGGTGTCAGACGCCTCCCAAATTGTTCTCCACCCAGGACAGATTGCTGCAAGTCTAACTGGGCATCCATTGTTTGGTTGTAAAGAACACTAGGGAATGAACCCATTTGGGAGGCAACTATGAGCTCTTTTGTAGGTCATAGAAATTCAATCAGGTCTCACAAGGGGTCTCCTGTTCCCACCCCCCTAGAGTCCCCCTCTCTGAGGTCCTGTCTCTGGGTCTTCTTTCCAGGTCTCTCTATTTTCCTCTCTTCTGCTATGACCTTAGCTTTCTGTTCCAACATCCCAGATTGAGTCTCTTCCCCTGCTGGACACTCACCAGGTGAAGAGAAGACAGGAGAGGCTGTTCCTGAAGAGGTTGTGGATGAGAAGCCCAGGGCAAGAGCACTTTTATCCTGCACAGGGTTTGTGATGCACAGCCCAGGAATCCAGCTCCTTCCACAACCAGGGAGGTGACACCCGGCACATGCCCGGGGCCTTCCATTCATCATCTTCCTGTGCACTCACCAAGATGTCCAGCAAGAGGCAGCAAGGAAGTTCTGGCGCCTGTCTACCCATGTCTCACTCAGGGCTTCTAGACATGACCAGTCAGTCCACCTTCCGGGCAACATTTCTTCAGTTCATGGTCCTTACCACAGTCTCCGATCCATGGGCTTTCCTGGATTCCTTCTGGAGGTATACATGGAGGAATATGGGACTTTTCTGTTCTTGGGAACATAACAATCTGTCAGGAAAGAGAGATGGAAAGGTTAACACACACATAGGTACAGTCAAATATCAAGTATTAAATACCATAGTATAACTGTGTATAACCTCTTCAGGCTTGAGGCCATGGTCTCTGGTTTTAGTTTCCATCATCCTGAGTGTAACCCAAAGACCCCCACACATTCAGATGTCATGGGTCACTATCCTCTCGAGCTCTTGTGATAAGAGAAGTGGGTGAAAGTGAAGAAACAGAGCTGAGGCTCTGGGTACAGCAAGGCTTCTGAGAAGATCTTGGTACCTGGAAGCCACTCGAGGTTCCTGGAGAACACTGAGATAGTGCTGAATTGATTTTTGAAGAATAGAACAATTTGGTAGACCCAACAATACATGAAGTTTGATTATGGTCTGTTTAAGAAAGCTGAAGACTTTTCTCATTTGAATTCATCATGTATTATGCTACATTTTCATAGAAAAAAATAACTGTTAAGAAAACAACCAGTATTTAGTTATCCTATCAAAATTGAAATCCTTTTATATATTATTGATCCATATTTTCTGACATGGAAAAAAGTTCATGATCTATTTACAAATGGTTACATCAGGTTATAAAACAAAATACATGATTATTTACGTGACATTTTAAATGAAATATTTTAACAGTATGTCTCATGTGACTGGCTATGTGGTTTTGGGAAAAAATAATTGTTTATAAGAAGCTTTAATTTTTTTTCCTTTTTTGTTTTCACTCCACTTTTCTAGTCATTCTCTTTGAAGCATAGTGATTTCATCAGTTCTCTCTTTAGAGATGTGTAGAAGCATGAAGCAAAGGAAATGCTGGCTCAGGATGGCAAATGGGAAAGCAGGGAAGTGAGGCAACTCCCCTCAGTTTCATTTCAGAGTGACCATCTCACTAATATTGTTGGATGTCTCACCAATGAACAGTGTTCAGGAGGAGACATTCATGAAGAAGGATGATGGGGATATCTTTCTGTCACACCGCATGGCAAGGCTGAAGACAGAGTATGGTGGTGGAGAATGCGGCCCTTTGTTCACCAGCTTTGTCATGGTACTAGGCCCAGGAGAGCACCAGACTCGGGGGAGTACACCTCTGACCTAAAATTCACCGCCAGGAAACTCTGTATCTTAGAAAAAGTCCATCTGTCGGTGGTCTGAGATCCTGGTAGGAAAAACTACCAATTATCTGCCCCTACAAGCTTGACATTTGCGTGAGCCCCTGTTATAGACCTCATGTTTGTTCCCTCCGAAATGTATATATGTATATATACCAGTGTGGTAGTACTAGGAGGTGGAGGCTTTGGGAAATAATTAGGTAATGAGTGTGGAGCCCTCCTGAATGGGATTAATGCCCTCATAAAAGGGATGCCAGAGAGCTCTCTAGTCCTCTTTCTGCCATGTGAGGATGCAATGAGAAGTCAGCAGGAAGAGGACCTGAAAGCAGGACTCCACTACACTCTGACTTTGTTGGCACCCTTGTCTTAGAAATAAACAGAAATAAACTTCTGTTGCTTTGAAATCACTCATTCTGTGGTATTTTGCTGAAGCAGACTCAACTGAGACAATCCTTAGCTTTCTGTCACCCATACCCTTACTCCTGGTATTTCCTCATACTGAAGTCTCTCATTTCTACATATTTTTGCTCAATAATTTCTGTGGAACATAAACCATGTGTCAGGTACTCTGAATGGCACTGGGAATATAGTAGAGAACAAAGGAGACATTCATCTCAGCCTTCAGGAGTTTGTGGCCTAATACAGAGCACAAACACCAAAGGAGGCAAGAAGACTATTTCCAGGGAAGGGGCTACCATAAGCCTTATCTAAAGGGGTTTTGGATCCCCTACAGAAATGAGCATTTATTAAATCATATTTTATGATTTTTTTTTGAGTTGGAGTCTCACTCTGTCACCCAGACTGGAGTGCAGTGGCCGCTCCCAGCCACCGCAGCCTCGACGTGCTGGGCTCTGGCGATCCTTCCGCCTCCGCCTTCCAAGTACCCGGAATTACAGGCATGTGCTACCATGCCCGGCTGATTTTTTGACTTATTGTAGAGATGAGGTCTCACTGCCCAGGCGGGTCTCGAACATGCGGGCTCAGGCAATCCACTAACCTTAGCCTCCCAAAGGAGCGGGATTACAGGCTGAGCCACCAAGCCCGGCTTATTTTATGATTCTTTAGAAGCAAGGACAAAGGCCATTTTTGATCAAAGGGTTGAAATCTTGAATCATTGGGGGAGTGAAGAACACACAAAAGGTAACCTCAATCATCATTTTGCTAAGTTCTAAATTAAAAGCATTCAGAAACCATCAGTGGGAGACTTTTCTGTGCTTCAGGAAATGCAGATAGTCTTCTGTTAGGTTCTCCTCAGCTCTGTCCTGACTGCCTGTCTTGGGTGTCTCATCCCTCATGTTCCTAGTCTTCACTCCTGGATAAGGCGCTTCTCTTTCCAAATCCACAATAGTCAACACTCCTAGGGGTCCCATCTCAAGGAGAATAGTTATCCGGAGACCCATAGACATTAGAAGAAACAGAGACTGGCCTGAATAAATGATCTCAGGAGAAATTCTTGGCTTCTAGTGCTAACTGGCACTGTGGAGTTAGGCATGCAACTTTTCAGGTTTACCTTATTTTATACATTTTGATTGGACCATACAACTTATAAGCCAATGATGAATCTTCTTTTCCAGATGATCAGATTTAATTGCCAGTTAAAGACTCTCTTGTCATCATCCCAAGTGTTTATTTAGTGACACTCATCTGAGTCATACTTAGGTAAGGTGAGAGAAGAGAGATAGAAAGTGTCATATTTTTGTTGTTGTCGTGATATAATTATACACCATAAAATTTACCTTTTTAAAGTGTACAATTTTGTGGTTTTTAGGATAGCCACAAAACTGGGCAACCATTACCACTATCTAATTCCAGACCATTTTTATCACCCTAAAAGGGAGCCTTGTCCCCATTAGCTGTCACTCACCATTTCTCACTGTCTTCCTGGCAACCACTAATTATCTTTTGCTGTGAATTTGCCTATTCTGGGCTTTTCCTATGAATGAATCATATGAGATAAGACCTTTGGTGTTGGTATATTTCATTAGCATATTGTTTTCAAGGTTTATCCATGTTGTACTATGTATTAGTACTCTATTTTTAATGGAAATATAAATGAATAATATTTTGTTTTACTTAACCATTCATCAAGTGATGGGCATTTGAGTTATTTCTAGGTTTGGATTGTTATGAATAATGCAGCTATGAATTTAATTTTTGTTATTTCCTTCCTTCTGATTTATGCTTAATTAACTCTTCTTTTTCCAGTGTTTTACAATAGAAAGTTGTGTTATTGATTTAGGATTTGTCTTCTTTCTAAATATAGGCATTTACAGCTATATATTTTTTCTGTGAGCACATCTTTTGCTTTATTCTGTAAGTTTTGGTATGTGTCTTTATTTTTATTCATTTCAAAGTGTTTTATAATTTTCCCTGTGACTTTCTTTTCCTTGACCTACTTAGGAAATATTTCTGAATTGTGTGGTTTTTGTTCTGTTATTGATTTCTATTTTTATTCTACTGTTATTAAAGAAGATACAGTATGATGTTTTCATACAGTATGTTTTCAATCTTTTAAAGTATAATCCTTCTTTTATAACCCAACAAATGATTTATTCTACAGAATGTTCCATGTTCACTTGAGAAAAATCTGTGTTCTGTTAACATGGTTGGAGTGTTCAACAAGATTTGGGTTACACTGAATTGGTTTTTAGTGTTTTACAGTTTTCTGTTTCATTGTTAATCTTCTGCCCAGTTATTCTTCCATTATTGAAAGTGTAGTATGAAAGTCTTCAAATATTATTGTTGAATTGTCTGTGAGCTATCTATCTCTCTTTTCATCTTTGTTAGTCTTTGCCTTGTGGAATTTGGAACTTCTTTGATAGATGCATATATATGTATGATACTAATAGACTGGTCCTTTTATCATTATAAACTGTCTTCCTTTGTCTCTAGTACTAATTTTTAAAGCTTATCTTGTCTGACATTAGTATAACTACACCGGTTATTTTTTGTTGTTGTTACTATTGCATGGTATAGATTATTATACCTTTTTACTTTCTATCTATTTGTGTCTTTGGATCTAAAGTATGTCTCTTGTACACAGCATATAGTTGGATCATGTTATTTTATTCATGTTGCCAGTCTCTGCCTTTTGATCAGAATATTTAATCAATTTATATTTAATGTAATTATTGTTAAGGTCAGGTTTATGTCTGCTATATGTGATTTATTTTCTATACATCTTATGTCTTTTTTAGTCCCTCTATTTCTCCATTATGGTTATTTTTTTTGTTTAATAGATTTTTTTTAGTTTACTCTTTTGATTCTCATGCCATATATTTTGCTATATATTTTCAGTTATTTTGTTAATAGTTTCCTTGGGTATTATTATTTGCATCTTAACTTAGAATGATCTAACTCATATCAACACCAATTTAATTTTGATATTGTACAAAAACTTTACTCTTTTACAGCTTTGGTTTCTCTCCCATATGTGTGCTGTTATTGTCATAAAGACCACACCTTTATACATTATAAGTCCTTCAATGCAACTTTATAATTATTGT